CACAGAACAGAGCATAAGAAACTGCACTGTAATAAACTGTATTGCACAACACTGCATAAAATTTTCTGCAAGAAAACTTTAATGCAACACAATATTTGCACAAGAATTATTGCAAAATGAGTCTGTGTGCAATAATAAAAATTATAACACACAAGAAAAAAAATATATCAAGGAATGAACACTTTAACTCTTTAAATGCACTTAAACAACAAGCAAAAGAACAATTTACTTTTGAAGGAAAATTTTTAAAAATTTTGCCCCCCTAAAGTGAATTTTTTTTCAATAAAAAAAATGAAAAAAAAAATAGGTCCCAAAAAAATACAAAAACAAAAAAAGGGGGTTGAACCCCTTCAGGATGAAGAAACACATCAACATAACCCCCCAATACAGAATTTTTTGCAATGAAAATTTTATGTTTTAAAAAATTTTTAAACAAAATTTCTTCCCTGGAGTTTTAAAAAATGGCACTATTGCTGTGGAAATAAGACAAAAAAAACCCCCCCTTGGCTGAAAAAAGGGAAATATGAACCCCCAAGAATGTTCAACACACAGGGAACAAAAAAAAATTTAACCAAATGGGGGAAGAAAAAAAAAAATAACAGACAACCCCCGGGATTTTTGTGTTTCAGAATATGAGGTAAAAAATTTACTGATTTAAAATTTCACTGGAATTTTAATTTAAACCAATTTCCCTATACTGCTCTTATGTTGCAAACACAACAAAGGAAACACTAAGAAATTTACTTAAAAAGTGTGTATAAAAAAAAAAAACAAAAACACAACAGTTAAAAAAAATGCACAAAAATTTAAACCCTTTGAATTAAGGAGATAAAAAAAACTTAATGCAACCCCGTCCCATGGAAAACCCCTTGAGGTTCTGCCCAAGAGTCACTGAATTGTCAAAAAGAGAAAAATTTCCCAGGGGAACAACAAAAAAAATTTCCCCTAAAAAACTCGCAAATGTCCTAAAAAAAAAATATTAAGCTGAAACCCCTTTGAAAAAAATGGGGATTGAGGTTTGTTTTTATCGTTTTGGGCTGTTTTCCCCTTTTAACAGATGATCGTAGAATTGCGCTTAAATGGGGCGGAAAGAAAAAACCCCAAGGAGGTTTTTTAAAGATGCGCGCCCACCTTAGCTCTTGCCCCCCCTATGTGGTCCCCCTAAAAAAATGGTGTTTAAAACCCTTAGCAGACCCCCACCAAAACCCCTGATGAGGATGGGTTTGAAGTTTTTTGGGGGCCCCAAAACTTTATTTTGGGTTTGTGGGTAAGGGCCCCTTTGGGGCGAGGCTTTCTGAAAACCCCAATGGGGGGCGCCCCACCGTAAACGTGGGGGGCGGGGTTTAAAGGGTTTGAACGTGAAAACCCCCTCACTAAAAAAAACCCAAAACTCCCCCCCCCGCAAAGATAATTTCTTTTAAGCCACTTGTTAAAAAAAAAAACCCACGAAATTTACTAAAAACCACCCCAAGGATGAAAAAGGAGCACTCAGAATGCTTGGCCATGAATCAAAAAAGCGATGAAGACTAGTCACGTGGCTTCCCCTGGTATTTGGGGTTTAAGACATCCCGGGGTTAGTTGCTAGCGGGCCCCCTTATCTTCCCCCTTCCCCAAAGAATAGTTGATAATTTTCACACATGGCACAAAAAGGGGTGGAAGCGGGTTTTGGCAGGCAAAATAAATTGGGATGGATTTTTTTAAGGCCCCCCTAGGCGGGCCTGGGCGGGGGGTTTTCCCCCTTCCAACCCCCAAACCACGGGGACTGGAAGCGGGCCCTTAAATTTTCCCAAAACTGGGTAAACCCCCCTCGGGAGAAATGCAAAAAAGCAGGAAACACAAATCCCAAAGAACTGACCGGGTAAATAATGTAGAAGGTGGGGAAGTTTGGCTTGAGGTACTGGATGGGGTGAACCTCGGTATTTAAATGGGCCCCCTACGGGGTCAAAAGAAATGGCCGTCCCTTCCCCCGGTCGACAATTTTTATTCCAGAAAATCGCTTAAATCGTCAAATTTTACAGGTTTCAACCGGTCCCCAATTTATCGTAAGGGTTTTTGGAATGGAGAATAACAGGTTAAAAGTAGACAAAACTTTTTGGGAAAGGTAGATATTTTGTCAGACTAAAGGGGGGGAAAATGGAGCCCCTTGCCCAAGCCTGTTCACGTCTTGTAGGCTGCCCCCGATGGGGCGGGACAAAGGGATAAATGCCCTGTGAATCCCCAAATGACGTCACTCCAACCCCAAAAGGCCTAGAGGGATTTTTGTTTTAAAGCACATGGAGGTTAAAATTTTTGGCTATCCCTAAATAATAAAAATTTGAATTTAAACGGGAAACAGCAACTATCTGAAGCCAAACTGCCCCCAAAATTTTTATCCCCTGCCCTGGAAGTTTGCCACGTTTCAAACTGCCTCCAATGTTACCCCATTGCCCCTTTTAAGTTTGCCAGCGCCTACTCCCTTCCAGTTTTAAACATTGCCCGGAAATTTTTTGCCGGCGCTCTACTGCCTCCAATGTTAGTCACTGCTTTTTGAAAGGGTTTGCCGGCGCTCTACTGCCCCCAATGTTGCCCCCCCTATTTGAAGTTTTCCGGCGCTTATTTCGCCTCCAATGTTAGCCCACTCCCTCTGTAATTTTGGGCCGGGCTCCCAAACTCCCTTTTAAATGTTAGTCACTGCTCCTGTAATTTTCCCGGGCGCTCTACTCCCTTTCCCAAATTTTATTTCCCCGGGCTCTGTAAGTTTCCCGGGGGCTCAAACGCCTCCTTTGGGTTTGTCACGCCGTAATTTGGGCCCAGCGCTCAAACCGCCTCCAATGTTACCCACTGCCTCGTAATTTTTGCCAGCCCCTTCCCCCCCCCCCTTTAAGGGTTAGTAAATGCTCTGTAAGTTTCCCGGGCCCGCCAAACTGCCTCCAATTTTAGTCCCCCCCCTCCCTTTTGAAAGGGTTTTGCCAGCCCCCCCTTTTTGCCTCCAATGTTATCATGCTCCTGTAATTTTGCCGGCGCTTATTTAAAACTCCAATGTTATTCACTGCTCTTAAGTTTCCGGGCCCCTACTGCCTCTAATGTTAGTCACGCTCTGTAAGTTTCCCGGCGTCTACGGGCCCCAATTTTAAATCACTTCTCTGTAATTTTGTGCCGGCGCTACTGCTCCCAATTTTTAGTAAACCTTGCTCGTAAGTTTGCCACCCACTTTACTCCACCCAATGTTAGCACTCCCCCTTTTAATTTTTTCCAGCGCTTTTCCTGCCCCCAAAATGTTAGTCACTGCTCGGGTAATTTCCCCCCTTGCTCAAAAGGCCTCCAATGTTAGTCACTGCTCTGTAATTTTGCCGGCGCTCTACTGCCTCCAATTTTATTTCCTGCTCTGTAAGTTTTCCCGGGCGCTCTACTCCCCTCCTTTTTGTTAGCCCATGTTCTGAAAGTTTGCCACCCGCCCCAAATTGCCCCCCAATTTTAGTCAAAGCCTGTAAGTTTGCCAGCGTCTACTGCCCTCCTTTGTTAGTCATTTGCTCTGAATTTTTGCCATCGCCAAACTCCTCCAATTTTTGTCATTTGGCTCTGTAAGTTTGCCCGGCGCCAAATGCCCCCAAATTTTTAGTAAATCCCCTTATAAGTTTCCCGGGCGCCCCTTACTGCCTCCAGTGTTAGTCACCTGCTCTGAAAAAATTTTCCCGGGGCTTACTGCCCCTCCATTGTTAGTCCCTGCTCTGAAATTTGCCAGCGCTAACTGCCTCTAATGTTAGCACTGCTCTGTAAGTTTCCCCGGCGCTTACTGCCTCCAATGTTGGGTCAGGGCCTCTGTAAGTTTCCCGGGGCTTACTCCCTCCATTGTTAGTCACTGCCCCTGAAAATTTTTGCCGCGCTTTTAACTGCCTCTGTTAGTCCCCTGCCTGAAAAGTTTGCCGGCGTTTCCCTGCCCAAGTTATTCACTGCTCTGAAAGTTTGCCGGCGCTCTACTGCCTCTAATTTTTAGTCCACTGTTTCTGAAATTTTTTGCCAGCGCTCTCCCTCCCTCAAATTTAGTCATGCTTGTAATTTTCCCAGCGCTCAAATTTGCCCCCAAAATGTTAGTCACTGCTCTGAAAGTTTCCCGGGGTTTCACTCCCCTCAAAATTTATCACTGCCCTGTAATTTTGGGGCCCCCGGGTCTACTGCCCCCAATGTTAGTCACTGCCTTTTAATTTTTTTAAGCCGCTCAAATACCTCAAATTTTTAAGTCACTGCTCTGTAATTTTGCCGGCGCTCTATTTTGCCCCCTTTTTAGTAAACTGCCCCTGTAATTTTTCCCGGCGCCAAACTGCCTCCAATGTTATTCATGCTCTGAAAGTTTCCCGCGCTTTTATTTGCCCCCCAATGTTAGTAAATGCTTTTAAAAAGTTTCCCAGCTTTTCTGCTGCCCCCCGGTTTATCCACTGCTATGCGCCTCCTTGTTAATCACGTTTGTCGGGCCTCCGGTGTTAGTCACTGCTGGGGCTGCCCCGGGGGTTAGTCACTGCTTGTTTCCCTCAGGTGTTAGTCACTGTTTCTGCTCCTTCCGGTGTTATTTCACCCCTCTGCTCCCCCGGGTGTTTATCACTGCTCTGCCCCTCCGGTGTTAGTCCTGCCTGCTGCCCCCGGGGTGTTAGTCACTGCTCCTCCCCCCGGGTTTTTAGTCACTGTTTCCTGCTCCCTCCGGTTTTTAGTCATTGCTAGCTGCCCCCGGGTGTTAGTAAAACTGCATCCCCGCCTTTCCGGGTTTGGTTTTTACTGCTTTTGCTCCCTTTCCGGTGTTAGTCCTGCTGTGCGGGCCTTTCCTTGGTATGAAGTAGTTCTTTTTTTTTTAAATGCCAGTGGAATTTCCCTCAGCTTTTTTCTAAAAAGACACTGGGGGGCTCGTGATACTTGACACATCTTTGACGGCCTCGGAGTGAGGACCAACGCTGCTTCAGTGGGAAGACAATGACTTGATTAGAAGGTAATTCACTTGTGTAACAAGTCACCTGCATAACAAGTTGACTCACCTGCGTAAGCAGTGCCACAAGCAGGAGTGCCAGTCGTAGTATCATAAGTGAGCCTCGCATCATCCAGGTCGCCTGTAACAACACAAAACAAACTTGTATTAAATTAAGCAAATTTGAGGTGAGTTTACACACACACACACACACACCCATACTGGAGTATGCAGCACCAGTTTGGAACCCACACCTGGTCAAGCACGTCAAGAAATTAGAGAAAGTGCAAAGGTTTGCAACAAGGCTAGTTCCGGAGCTCAGGGGAATGTCCTACGAAGAAAGGTTGAGGGAAATCGGACTGACGACACTGGAGGACAGGAGGGTCAGGGGAGACATGATAACGACATACAAAATACTGCGTGGAATAGATAAGGTGGACAGAGACAGGTTGTTCCAGAGAGGGGGCACAGAAACAAGGGGTCACAACGGGGAAGCTGAAAACTCAGACGAGTCACAGGGATGTTAGGAAGTGTTTCTTCAGTCATAGAGTCGTCAGGAAGTGGAATAGTTTAGCAAGTGATGTAATGGAGGCAGGAACCATACATGGCTTTAAGACGAGGTACGACAAAGCTCAGAAGCAGAGAGAGAAAGAGGACCTAGTAGCGATCAGTGAAGAGGCGGGCCAGAGCTGAGTATCGACCCCTGCAACCACAATTAGGTGAGTACACACACACACACACACACACACAACACATATATATATATATATATATAAATATATATATATATATATATATATAATGCCGTGCCGAACAGGTAAAAACTTGCTATTTTGGCTTAACTAGCAACGCTCTTCTTGCCGAATAAGGCAAGCGAAAATTTGTATATGCAATAATTTCGAAAAAAATCATTGTGAACCTAACGAAAGAAATATATTTCATTGTGTTTGTTTATTATTAAATTATTGTAAACTTATGTAAACTATATTTAGTTGGAATAAGCTAAATTAAGTTGAGCTTGTTATAATAAGATTAGGTAAGTTTTCTAAGGCTCTTTTGGTACAAAAATTATATTTTTTTACATTAACATGGATGAAAAAAAAATCTTTAAATGTATAAGAGAAAATTTTTAGAAAGGACTTAATTTTAAATGAGTACTTGCTAACTGACCAATTTTACGTATTCGGCACGACATATATATGTGTGTGGAGCGTGCGTTCTATGATGCCGCTACTTACATATTCTCAAAATAATGGTGTGAAATCCGTAGACTTGCACATTCCAGTTATACCCTCTGTCCCCAGATAAGGAGCCAAGGCCGGGTCACCACTACTTGGAAAAGACCCGAGCCGGGAGAATACCGGCGAATAAAAAAAAAAAAATTATACACCCTGCTTACCAACAGAAGTTATACATGACATGAATATAATAATAATAGTAATAACAATAATGTGGCAAGCGGAGTTCAAGGATAATGTTAGAGGCAGTGTGGAGGTGAGGGAGACGTAGATGACACTGGTAACATAACCACTGTGACACTGGTAACATAACCACTGTGACACTGGTAACATAACCACTGTGACACTGGTAACATAACCACTGTGACACTGGTAACATAACCACTGTGACAGTGATGTGGTGCAGCACTTGAAGACATGGTGACAGGTAGACAGGACCCACTAGAAGAAATAGATCATGCCCATAAGGTGAGCCAGATGTTATAATGGAGTTATAGAAGATATTCTCTCTACCAAGATTCCACAATGCTGTTGTGTCATTAAAGGCACGGTATACTTCCACCAGTGGGCCCTGTCCACCTGTGATGAAGTCTTCAACTGCTGCATCTTACCACTACTTCCTCTGGCTCCAGTATAGAGGTATCCATCCTCACGCTTCTGTATTAGATTGAAAAAAACAGTTTGTTGCGCAGGCGTAACATCTGGTCAGTAAACGTGCCCAGGTGATGCACATGTGGTTTTTTTTACTCATCTACTTGCTGATATTTTATACCATTGATCTGAGTGTGTCAAGAATATTTATTCTAACTTCGCAGTAGGAAGTTTTGAACACGTTTCTTGAGCTGTAATGTAACACGCTTCATCTCTCTTAAAAACTGATGATCATGTCTCCTCTTCAACTTGAATAAAATCTCTACCTCATCTATGTTGTCATCATCTGGAGTCTTCCGTGACACATCACTTCCTACTATCATAACTGATCCTATTCAATGGTATTACGTTTTCATTCTTGTGTTTCATAATGACCCGATTCTTTGAGGAGTAAAACTCGTACTACATATGTGCAAAACAACCACGAGGGGAGGTGAATGATAACTCTAAGCCTTTCATGATGCAATCAACACATCAAGAGCTTGCAATGTTGCAGGAAAGAGGAGGAAGTCCAAGCAAATACGATCACAGGAAGCGTGTGGAAAACACGCTTTCTCTGATCGTATTTGCTTGAACCTCCTCCTCTTTTCTGCAACACTGCAAGCTCCTGATGGTGTGTTGATTGCAACACCAAATGCCTATAGGTATCATTCAACTCCTGCCATGGTTGAAAGCTTGTATCGTTTGTTCGCGATTTTTTGAATAATCTATATATATATATATATATATATATATATATATATATATATATATAAATATATATAAATATGTATATATATATAATATATTATATAATATATATATATATATATATATATATATATATATATATATAAATATATATACATAATATATATATATATATTATATATAAAATATATAATATATATATATATATATATTATATATATATATATATATATATATATATAATCAATAATAACAGTGAACTAGCCAAGGAGTCGAACCCATGCTGTTGTGGCCCGCCTCATGGTGAGCGAAAACGCATGACGCTTTAGTAACAATAATAATATCTTTATTTACTACAAGTACATGTACAAGGTATACAGACCATAGCTGACATCAGTGACATACTACTATACAGAAAGCCCCTTGTTATGTTGAGCATTTCGGGCACATTAGGTCAGTGTCCCAGGATACGACCCACACCAGTCGATTAACACCCAGGTACCCATTTAACTGATGGGGAACATAGATAACAGGTGGAAAGAAACACGCCCAATGTTTGTACTCTGGCTGGGAATGGAACCCAGGCCCTCGCCGTGTGAAGGGAGTAGCGTTAGCCACCAGAGCCCCACTAGACCAGTCTAGTGGTCTAAAGCGTCATGCGTTTTCGCTCACCATGAGACGGGCCAAAACAGCATGAGTTCGACTCCTTGGCTAGCTCAGTGTTGTTATTAATCAACATCACTTGTTCGTGGGTATATTATATATATATATATATATATATATATATATATATATATATATATATATATATATATATATATATATATAATATTATACACACACACAAAACAACCACTGTGAAAGAAAAGCGAAATTCCAAGCGCTTTCGTGACTTCTCACATTATCAAGGAACTATAAAAAACAAAACATCAAAGGAAGGCATATAAAGAGTCAAGACTACACCTCACCATCACGTCACCACAACAAAACTACCAGTTTGACCGTAAGGTCAAACTGGTAAAAGTCTCGAACTAAGATTAAACAACATAAATACAGCATAAGAACTGGTCAAGATTCTAATGCTCTATTTGTTCACGTGAGAGATTTTAACCACCCAATTGATTTTCAAAATGCTGAGAAAGTTGTATCAAGCAAATCTGTGGTCGACAGGAATATAATTGAATCATGTTTCATAAAAAGCAGTTTGAAAATAATATGAATATTTCCTTTGTTTTATATAAATTGGATTCATTTATAATTAATAAACTTTGGGAAGAATTTAATGATACATTAGACAATAAATCTTAATTCTTGGGTAGGGTATTAGGTGTGTTTCAAAAAGACGGGTGTCGTCACGCGTGTGTGAGGTGTAGCATTGTTGTGGTGACGTGATGGTGAGGTGTAGTCTTGACTCTTTATATGCCTTCCTTTGATGTTTTGTTTTTTATAGTTCTCTGATAATGTGAGAAGTCACGAAAGCGCTTGGAATTTCGCTATTCTTCACTGTGACTGTGGTTTATATATATATATATATATATATATATTATAATATATATATATATATATATATATATATATATATATATATATATATATATATATGTACTGTCATGCAAGTATGCTAATGTAATGTTTGTCGCAAGAGACATCGAGGGCAGACGTGTTATAAAATCGCATGACCCTGGTGTCTCTGGTCACTCTCTGTTCAAACTTTCCACCAATGATAGATGTCAAGGAAACGTGCGGGACACAACACTGGGGCGGGGTTGAGGAACATGATTCTGGGGCAAAAGTGGTATGGGATATATTAAACTGTGAGGAAACACGCCGCCAGAACACTACACTCACCACAAATTTACTAGTCACTATGGATAGTACCTCCCACCTCCAGACTATTTCAGCTTACTGTTGTAACTTTTCCTGCCTTAAATGGGTAAGACGAGGATACAATACAGACCAGTCTTAAAATATCTTGGTCATCAACCACCACTCTGTCAATCATTGTGTCGTAGTTAAACCCACTGAGTCATCAACTACCACCCTACCAACCACTGTGTCGTTGTTAAACCAACTGACACAATGACTGCGGAATCAAAATTATTACCGTAATTGCCAGATCGTTTATAAAATTAAAGAAGAGTCATGACAGTATAAAAATGCTAACCTAACTTCAAATAGCATTTCAAAAATTTCCACAAAATATTTTGAATTTTGACGCTTAATTGCTTAATTAAAATTAGCGTAATACAATTATGATCCATTCAGAAAGTTGCTCTGATTTGTTTTTTTAATGTTCGTAAATCATTCATAGGTCTAATGAAATGTTGCTAGGATCAGCGCTTACAGATTTCCACCAGTGATCCCCAAGTGGTGTATTGTATTTGTGAGTCGCAGCTTCTGAACCACTGAAGAACACCACTACTGAGCTGACTGACACACTAGCCAGGGTATGTACCATTCACATCACCGCCAGGTACCGTCACATTACAGACAGGTTTGCTTTTGATGAGTTTCCAGTCCTTCTACTCCCGGAGCCCAGCCATGGGCCGTCACATTTTAGACA